TGCCATTAATTGGAGAGATAGGACAGTGAGTTGGAAATCAGGAAGAGAGAGAGTGGGGTATGACATGCGGGAATGGAGCCACAGGTGGGATTTGAACCTGGGCCGCCCGCTTGGAGGACCATAGCCTCCATACATGGGGCATGCGCACCAACCACTGCGCCACCAGCGCCCCCGTTAGTTTGTTTTAGTAAGACATACATCATCATACTAAGAAATTAAGGAGTTTTGTAAAGTGGGAAACATATGTTTACAATGCCAAACCTAAAATCAGAATAAAACACATAATGAAGTACAATAAGGCTTTGAGTCATGTACTTATCTCTCCTGAATGAAATCCAGCAGTCTTATTTTCAGCTCTCTTGTTGTCTGTAGGTTAGTTTTATTTCTTGTTAGGTAGATTAGAGGGAGGTGCAGAGAGCGACGACCCGTTTTTATTAAAGTCTTCTTCCAACTTGGCCTCTTGTTTTAGATACTTTCTGATGAGAAGGAGTCTACATGAGTGGAAACACAGTTTAAAGGAAACGCTTACTTAAAGATGAGATAAGAACTTAAAAATCTGCCCACTCAGCATGAACATATCTCTCACAGGAAGAAGAAGGGTTTACCTCAGATGTTTGATGATAAAAGTGAAGGGTCTTTGTACGTCACAGTGAGACGAGTTTCCCTCCGATTAAAGTTCAAAAGTTCAGACGTATGTATCAGATGAAGGTCATGATTAACATCTTCCTATCAGGGTTTTAAGAAAGACATAACATAAATAAATAGTCACATTTCTCAGAAGATTTCACTCACAAATCTCTGATCCATCTTTCATTATTTTATTTTATTGTATTTAACCAGGAGGAGATCCTGGCCAATCAGGCAGCAGCAGAGTCAACAAAGTTTCAGACAAACAAAGAGCAGCCGTATACAAAAATAACACAAAAAGCTACAAGAATACATTCAAAGACTTTTATTCATCAGTCTAAGAGCGTCTCTGTCGATGGTATTCAGAGGAGTTGTTTGTCAACAGGTAAGGCAGGCAGCTGATTGGGCCCCCAGGCCAGTAGGGGGCCTCCAAGGGCTGACAAACTTTAAACCACAGCAGTGGCTCAAAATGTACAAATTTTGCAACGACAGTAGGATACCTCCCTAAAGGGGGCCCCATCTGACAGCACTCCCTCTCCTTTGCAAACCAACCTTTGTCAGAACAGGAAAAAATGTGAGTTAAAAAAAAGACAGGAAGCGTCGGGACATGATGATTGAAACGGGTTGGAGGGGCCCCAATTAACTTTTTCCTAGGGCCCCAACAGACTCTAGATTCGCCACTGATGGTATTCTATAGAAAACGGAGGTCAATGTTTTTCCACGTTCCTGCTCTGACCTTCAACAGAACAAAAAGACGTTGTTTCTCTGAAACCAGAGGTCTGGTCTGCTTCTCTGTAGCCCTGTTCAGACTGCCGTTTAAGCTGCGATATTACGTCCCTGTGACGTTTTGTCTTCAACCTGAATGAGGCAGAGACATAATGGGGGGACCAAGTGAACCCCTCTGAGCATGTGCTACATCATCATACAGGCGTACAGTCGATCATATTGTGTAATGTAATAAGCAGACGCAAGACCCCGAGCAGATGTGACCACCCGAGCAGATCTGGTACCTAGCATTAGCATGCTAATGGCGCACATCCTACATACCACCCAGTCTAAGTCATGAAATACTTCCCGTGTGTGGTAGATTTGACAGATTGGAGGTAAAAAACGAGGCTGCTTTATGTTACATTTATCAGGCCGTTAAAATCATTACAAAGGTATAATCTTTAAGTAGCAGTTCATAAGACATGTGTTGTAAAATCAGAAGCGACCTGCATACATTCAAATATATGAAATCTAAAACAGAGTGTGAACACAGTGCCTGTCGAGGTCATCGGCTTTTGTTGACGGTGCTGTACAGAGCAGCTGGATCCTCTTCAGGTTCTTTACTTCTGGTTCTGAAGGGGAAAATTGATCAACATGAAGTTTAACTAAAAGAATTGAGTTACCAACACGTCCATTACAGGATTAAAGTACAAACACATCAGAGGAAGATAAGAGCGAAAACAGCTTTTATCTTATAGTGAGAGTTTAATGTTTTCTCAGCTGCTCACCTCATGGCGGTGCTGTTCCTGGTAAATTTGACGGCAGCGTACTCAGTGACGTCCTGCTGCTCCGTTCTTCCTGGGGGCCGAGCTGGTCTGGTATTGCTGTACAGAGGCTCCTGGGTTTTAGAGAAGTGTATGCTGGCATACTGAAGGTCTTCCTGCTCCTCTGGTTGTCCTGATTAGGTGAACAAAATCACTTTGAGCTGCATATTTACATGTGGAGGTTTTTCATTTAAAAAGTGAATTCTAGCAGAGGACCGCAACCAAGATAGGAAAGGCCACAGCAACAGCATTATGGTGATGATGTTATTAAAATACTTTGAGTGTTGGCACACAGTGTAGAAGGGGGGGATTTAACCATTTTTATTTTATGAACGCTAACAGTTAACATAATTAGGGGCGTGGCTGAGTTGACTCCCAGGTGGGCGTGTTGTAGCCGTTTGTCAGGAGGCATAAGACCCGCCTCAGCTCCAGATTTTTGCTTGTTACTAGGTTCACTCAAAGACAGCATTTCCAATATGGCAACCACCATCAGTGAGCTTCAACATTTCACTTCAGAAACCAATGGGTGACATCACTGAGACGATGTCCATGTTTTTATACAGGAGGAAAATTCAAAGACAGCCTCAGGAATTTGTTTCTATCGGACAAATATGAAATGTTCTTTCTCATCAGCAAGTATAAAACATGCTTCATGATCAGTGTTGGCTGGTGCTTTGTACTCCAGGGTGGGCATAAGTTCTCTAAGATGAACCGCGATCTTAGTTCTTTAGCTTGATGCTAACACATGCCGGAAAATGCCAGTAAGCTAATTAGCATTGCGGTAATTTAACGATACGATTTATTTTACTCGTACTTACAGGCATATGTTTCATAAACTCTGTGGAGACAAACTTTAAAAACTGCTGACTCATGCTAGTCTGGTCTGCTGCTCTGATCCATCTTAATATACATTCAATGCTCTGAACCAGTGACGCTGCATGACTCGCTCTTTAATTCTCAGTTCATGGGACATGTCCATCTGCTGCCCCTTTTGGTGGTGTGTAATACGCTAATGAGCACATTTTTCCTGCGCTACCTGAGACTCCCATCTTTTGTCTTGAAGCGGAGTAAATATGTGCAAATTATAATGAGAGTCAATGGAGGCCCGGAGCGCTGGAGTCTAGCGCCCAAGTTAAGAGACACGTCTCCAATCAGTAACTTTGGACAGATTAAACATTTAACTCAATAACTACAAAACATTTCCTTTTAAAATTGTTCATGTATGTACAGCCTTTATTTAAAACAAATTCTTCTTCTGGGGAGTGATTGGCGGTGCCCTAGCGCTCTCTAATGACCAGCAGCTACTGTTCATGATGTCTGCAGAAACTAACGCAATGATTGTGTACTTGTAGGATGATCAGCTCTGAGCAGTCGGCTGAGTGAAATATTTGCTTGGTCAGATTATTGGACGGACCATATCGAGCACATTTACTCTTCTGGATGAACGACCTCTGAGTAACACAGCAGTCTGAATGAATCAGCGTTTATTTAGTACTAAGATATTAATCAGAACTATTCTCACCTGCTCCGTGTGTTCTTGTCTCTCTTCAGCCTCAGACGGTTCATTGGAAGCCCTCTTTTGTCTTGTGAGAAGAATTTAAAAGTATGATGAATTATGTTTTTTAGATATGACTGACTTTTAATGATTCAGTGAAACGAAGCAGCTCACCTGATCCACACGAGGACAGAGAGGAACACGATAACCAGGAGAACAACCGTGATTGTTCCAGCAACAGCCACTGATTTCCCTCCCCTGGGAAATGGTGACCAAAACAAAGCGTTCAGATGTATCTATCATCAGTCTGTCCTAAGCAGAAACCTCCACTGTTGAAAAATGAAGCAGATGTTGAAGGGTAAAATCCTGCAGTTCTTCGAGTGTCCACTAGAGGCTGTCTGCAGGAGCACAGGAAGTCACATACACACCCATTCAAAGAAGACGGCCAAATTGTGAACATCGTCTTTTAAAAAAAACAAATATGTCTTTTTAGCTCATGTCTCAATCAGCACACACTGTACGGGGGGGGGTGAAGGCATAGCTGACCTGATTGACAAGCAGGCGCCATATAAGGGTTTCTCAAGAGGTTTAAAACCTCAGCTCCAGCTCTCAGCCTGTTATGTTGACTGAAAGTTAGGGTGAGACAGCATTTCCAGCATGGAGACCGCCATCGATAGGACTCCAGCGCCCCCACAGGAACTGATTTATTACAGTTTTAGTCGTACTAACACAATTTATCGACTATCTCTAACAGCATGTGAACATACTGAATGTGTCCTGAACCTATCCAAGTAGTTTTGGTGGGTTGATCAAACCAAGTGCGTGATTAACAGGTTGAAACGGTCAGTTTAGGTAGGTTGAGTCTGAATGATGACAAATGTGACGTTAAGTCGGCAAGTTGGGTTTCTGAATTGTTGTTCCGAGTTGAGCAGACGTTCATCTGTATTTTCCAATTGGAAGCTAATTCTTCCGATGTGTCCGACACCACATAAATGCAGAGCAGGAATGTGGAAAGTTCAGCGAAACATTTGAGTGGCTAAAAAATGGAAAAAGTGGGGAAGTTGGGTTTTTAGGTCGGTAGATACACTTTTTAAATAATAGGTGTTTTACTCACATTTGACATTTATAGAGATGTGTTTGGATGTCCTTCTCCCCAGCGTGTTCTCAGCTTCACAGTAATACTCTCCAGAGGCCGAGGAGTTGACTGAACTGAGGACGAGCTGTGCTCCTGCATTTGAGGGGGATTAAGGTTTAGAGGTCCATTCTCCTTGTACCAGGTGTAATTAGCTGCTGGGTTAGCATCACTGCTGCAGTTCAGAGTCACTGAACTGCCCTCCACTATCTCAGCAGAGGGACTCACTGACACAGAGGGAAGCTTTGGAGCATCTGGAGGAGGATAAAAGTCTATTTTAAACATAGAATGAACATGTAAATCTTTCAGAGTTTATTTCAGTGGTCTAAAACTTAAAATATTAGAAATATAGCCTTTTTAAGTTTATTATTCCAGCTGTGAAGCATTAGTCCTCATGTCCTGTTAGAATCAATATCTTTTATTTGACATTCTCTCAGTCTAAAGCTGTAGAGATGTGAACTTCTCTATGAGTTAAAATCCTTTTGAAACAACATATCTTTGAAAGTGATAAATACTGATGATCCTCCTGCTACAGCCCTGATCTCTAACCATCCATGGTCTCAGCAGAGAGACTCACTGACACAGAGGGAAGCTTTCATGCTTCAAAAAGAGACGTAGTTTAATAACTGACCTTTAAATGAAAACAGCATTTAGTGAAAAGGTTTCTGAAGATTTGAAAGTCATTAACAGACAGGATAATCAAGGGTCTGAGCAAACTATGAAACTACAGAGAAATCAGGTCAGTAAGGAAAGTCTCCAAATGTTGAATGTTGCTGTTTAAAGTGTTTCACTCACATTTCACATCAATAGAGATCCATTTATAGGTCGGCTTTCCCAGATCGTTCTCAGCTTTACATGAAAACTCTCCAGAGTCAGAGGACTTGATGGAGCTGAAGACGAGCTGAGCTTCTCTACTGAGAGGTTGATTGTTATTCTTCTTGTACCAAGTGTATTCAGATGCTGGGTTAGCATCACAGCTACAGGTCACAGTCACTCTACTGTTCTCTCTGATTTCACCAGCAGGACTCACAGTCACTGAACAATCTGTTGGAGCATCTTGAGGAGAGAAGAATAAAAATATAACTGAAGTGTCATTAGATCTGTGTTTGTATTTCAGTGTCCGCCCAGCTTTAGTAAACTGAAGGCCTTCTCTAAAGCCGGCGTTTGTTTTGTCTTTTCTGGTTCATTATAGGAACACGTGAAGCGTAAATGTAATAAAGAGCTACTTCTTGGAAATCATTAACATAATGTAACCCAGGTTATTTCTGTAGTTTCATATTTACAGATGTTCCTTAAACGCATTACAGATTTACGCAAGTTCCTTGATTGAACCAACTGCAGGCTATCGGTACCCCCTGAAGCATCGGCAGAAAAAAGTTTTTCTCCGTGATTTCTACAGACTGTGAAGTAAAATAGACACATAAAAAGGAAGCTGTTAGACAGGAAGATGAATAAGATACGTTCATGAGCTGTTTCCAAGAGTTAAAAAGCTTTTAGTGAAGCTGGCAGTTTCTCCAGTCACAGTGTAGGAGAAGTTCACCGGCAGAAACTCTGAAGGTGTTCTCACCTTTAATGTGGATATCCTGGTGAGTTAGCTGTTCAAATTAGATGACTAGCATGCACATTTCATTGTTAAAATGTTTCAGTTGTATTTAATTTGATTTCAAGATGTCATAGAACTAAACCAGTCAGGATATTTGGTGTAAATTGAAGTTTGGATGTAATGTGGTCTGTGTTTACCTAACTGTGGCCTAGTAGCTACGAGCTAAGCTAAGCTCTGTATCTGTGTGTAGCACGCAATGTCATTTTTTTCCATGTGATGAAGTCACTTGGGACACAAATTGATAAAAAACAGTCACTTAGTTCATGTGTTATTGTTGTGTTAAAATCAAATTAAAAGTGTGAAGTAACTGGGTCTTTTCTGAGGGACGATTCAACCGCCGTCCAGGTCTTTGCTGCTTGAGGGTGCTGTCGTCTCATCTGGATGCTGATCTGCAGATAATGTGTTGTTCCAAAGAGAGGTAGGAAGCACATATGGAGTCTAACTGAAAGGATTTTTATTTTTATTTGCACTTTTGTTTTTTCTGAGATCTCAGTATGTTTTGTTTTGGGCCTAAAATCTAACATTAAAGGAACTCTCTTTTCATAACCGAAAAACAAAGTTGAAACGGACAAAGACTGAAACCTTAAAAGGGGATTTAATTCATTTTGTTACAAAGGTGTGTTTTCCATCTTGTCTTTTCGATTTGTTTAATTTGAGATATATGGAAGAGATATTTTTTTATTTAAAGTGTATACATGTTTCATATATGTGAACAGGAAAAGAACTGTGATCAAACCTCTTAAATACGTTTCTCTTTTATATCCATACATCGGTGTTGTGTGTGTTTGTGTGGACTGGAGGTCTTATTGCTCTTTATAGAGTCTGCTACGACCAATCTCCTTAAACAACCTAGTGAATCACAAGGTTTGAGTAACCTGAACAACTGAAACGCTAACATTCTGAAACTGTTCATTTAGAGATCATTTGATATTGATACTTAGAACATTTGATCTAGAGTCTTCTGAATTGACAACCTATTTTAGGTTTAACCCCCCCTGGTTAGAGGAGTTACAGTAACAAACTTTTAAAGTAATTAAACTCAAGTAAAAATATTTTAAATTGTCACATTAAATTCCTGATTAAATCTCACACACTGGTCCTTTAACTTGAATCTGTCAAAGAGACTATAGTAGTGTGTTTATTTGTAGGTGAGAGTTTCTTCTTTACACATAATATCTTCAAGAACATTTCTGCTGTTTCACTCACATTTCACATTGATAGAGACGTATCCAGACCTCTTCCTCCCCAGCTTGTTCTCAGATCCACAGTAATACTCTCCAGAGGCCGAGGGGGTGAATGTAGTTGAAGACCAGCTGTGCTCCTTCATGAAGGTATTGAGGGGTCTGATTTCTCTTGTACCATTTAAAAGTAGCTGCTGGGTTAGCATCACTGCTACAGGTCAGAGTCACTGAACTGCCCTCCACTATCTCAGCAGAGGGACTCACTGACACAGAGGGAAGCTTTGGAGCATCTGGAGGAGAATCAGAGAGACCTTTGTCATCCACATCAGATGATGATGATGAACATATTACATTCTAACTTAGCTTTTGGTTTTGAAATTGAGGCTCATGACAGCTGAATAAAGGTTTTTTTTTTACATTGAAACAGATAAACAGGACACTCTATGAAAAATCTAAATAAATAACAAATACCACTGAGGTACATGCTGCTATGAGGCACCATTTAATAGTTTAAAGATTCCATCTGATGGTGTGAATCAGTGAAGACTGTAAATAAACTCACACACTGGAGGAGACGGGCACTTCTCATGTCCTGATAGAGCACAGGAGTAACTGTCTGTCTGAAGAAGCTGCTCTGGTGAATAATAAGATGAAGTGCTATGTTTGAGTTTCTGTCCGTTCCTGAACCAGATGTAGGAGGTTTGACTGGAAAGTCCACTGAGACACTGAAAGAGCAGAGCCTCATGTGGTCTGCTCACCTTCACCTGGAGATCTGAACATGTGAAGAAACGTCAACTGTTTTCACAAAACATGCACATATTAAAACATGTATTTATAATGTATTAGAAACAGTGAGCTCAGAAATATTGAGGTGAAAGATTACCTGTGACTGACAGAGTGACCCCAGGTCGACCATGATAACTGTCTTTGTTTATTATGAATCCAAACCTGTACACAGTCGAGTCTGTCTCTCTCAGGTTTGTGATTCTCAGAGTGCATTTGTTCCCATCACAGATATTCTTCACACGACCTGAATACTCTGAAACTGTTTCTACATCTTTGTAATAAAAACCATCTTTTCTAAACCAGAATGTTTTCTGAAGTGAGTTAACTTGTCTATTTATCCTCTCTGGGTATGTGAAGGTGCAGTTCATCTCCACAGTTGATCCTTTATAAGCACAGATCTGAAGAGAAGAGTAAGTCACTCTCCAGCTGTCCTGACCCTGAACCACTGTAACACAGAGCACATCAGGAAACAACCATCAACATCCATAACTTTAAAAAGAAAAAGGAAAAGTCTCTACATATGAAAAAAAACGTTTGTATCCAAACAGGAAGTAAAGCACCCTTAACATAAAACAGTATAATATCTACAATAAAAGCATAACATATTTAAAATGTAAAATAATGGAACTTCAAACATGTGATTAAAGATATGATTAATCATAAATGTGTAATTGTTTGAAAGCCCTAGTGCAGGGGTCTCCAACAGGTAGCTCGGAGCAGGCAGGTTTAAAGTAGCTCACCTATAGGTTGACCGACTGTGTTAAAAAAATAAAATAAAAATAAATCATAATATGTACCTCTTCCCACTATTCATATATTTGGCCCATTAAAACAAGTGTAAAGAAGTAATGTTTTCTTGGACATTGATGTGAATTCTCAGCAACATAGCTTACAATAAGAAGTGTAAAATATTCATGTTTTTTTCTTGGACCTTGATGTGAATTTAAGATTCTTGATGAGCATTGGCTTTTTGCAATTTCACACGTGTACAAACAGTAGCTTCATTCAGCTGATGTAATGAATGCAAGAGATTTGATTGGCCACTTTCATTTTTTCAAAGAAGCTCTCAGATGAAGAAAGGTTGGAGACCCCTGCTCTAGTGTAAAAATAGACTGTATGTTAAAATTGACGGTGCAACGGCTGCAGTCAAAGGAGAAAGATTTAGAGCGCCCCCTGCTGACTGGCTGCAGTATAGGTCAAACTCCAACCTCCTCCATGATAACAGAAAGGCCATGGGGGTCAACAATGAAATCTAAATGCATGCATCTGTTCTTCTGTTGACTGAACACACCTGAGGGATTTTTATGTTTCTCTGTACGTTAAATGTTTTCGTTAGAGGAAGTAGCGTGACGTCTTCCAGTGGATCCCTACTACGCAGACTCTGGTTGCAAATATGCAATATGTAAGCGCCCATCATGAGGATAATTTGGCTTCATCTTGTTCAACAGAAGGAGCCTGAGGGATGTTGTCCATTTGTATATACAGTTAAAGGAAGAGTAGAAGATGTTCACTTGTTTCTACAGTTAATCTGCAAGTCGTTGAGACCAGACATCATCCAGTCTGAAGGTGTAGAGAACGTTAAATGTGTTATTTAGACCTGTGAACTTTACGGTTGTAAGAGGAAGTATTGATTATCAGAGAGAAGAACGTCACTTTAGAGATGTTATATTTAGAGGGTAATCCCTCTCCTTCACCATTGTAGGATGAAAAGACAGTTTTATGTATTTTTGATGTGGCTGGGTCAATAATGCTCGTTTAGGAAGTGAAGGGCAAGAAATTCTTCATCATCCAAACATCGGTGAGTGCTAACAAGCTAACATAAGTTAAGGTTAGCTGACGATAGTATCTGGGTCTCTGTCAGTCAGTGTTCTGGGGCAGTAATGTTCGTTAAAGGCAGGAATATTTAGATCAAGTTAACACAATCTTTAATGTCATGATGAGGAGAAGTCTGTTCTTTTGTTCCCTCACAGGGACAGCAGAGTGTCTAACAGCATTAATCCACAATCTCCTCCTCTCTGGGTTTTCTTTCAAACATTCTGTAGAAGAACAACCCGGGCTCGTCTCCTCGTCGGTTAGTGCATCACATTCAACAACAACTGTCTCTCATTTGAAACATGGAAAAATTAAACTGATAAAAAAACACTGAGACCAATAACTTCTCAGTAGCGTTCAGCTACAGAGTCTTTATCGCCCGCCAGGTGGGCGGTTCCATAAGCGTGTGATGTCATGTGAAAACTATGAATTGATTATTAAAGACTTTTTGCCATACTTGGATGGTCTGTGGTAAGTTTGCTGTTGAAGTAAGTGTGAAGACTTTAAAAAAAGCAGAACTATGAGGTGTGAGAAACAGAGCAGACACTCATACTTAAAAATACGATCTTAAAATCTGTCAACGCATCATGGAAACAAGTTTCCATCCAAAAAATGTTAAAAAGGATAAAAAATACATGTCGATAGAAACTGTATGAAAGATTCTGAAAACAAACTGCTTAAGAAATAATATGAAAAAGGCGATCCAACTAAAGATCTTCCTGTTAGACATTAAAACAGATACAATGATATACATTAAAACTGTGTTTATAGTGTTTCTGAGAAACATTTCCTGTAACATCAAGCACACTTTTCAGTCTGCATTAATCAGTCCCACATCTCCTCAGATTTCCCTCTTAGATTAAATGAATGTAACTGTAGATATGAAGTACCTGACACAGAGAGGAGGAGGACGATAAATCCACTCACTGCTGCAGTTAAAGTCATCGCTGCTCCTCTCATCTCTCTGTGTGACTTTAGGACAATAAAACATGTTAGCAGATTAATAAGAACACAGCAGGACTCAAACAGTACCAGACATGTTGATAAATTATTCTACTTACAGTGAAGAAGGATATCGTCTGAGAGAAGACTGTCCTCCTCTGCAGTGAGTGAGCAGAAGACAGATATCAGGGTGTTTTAACGCCTACATTTCCTTCCTCTTTAGATGATTAACATATATGATCAGTCAAACAGGAAGAACTCACGTCACAAATAAGTGCTATTGGTACCGAAACTTGTTTTAGTGGCAAACTTATTTTTTTACAGGACATAAAAACTTAACAAGGGTTATCTTCAAAATGTGAGACCCTTGGGTGCAGGAGCATCAACACTGGGGTAGCCCGACTGGTGCACTGACTGACGCAGGGGTGGCCTTCAAAAACACACACAAATAAATAATATAATGATTACCTTTAAAAATAACCTATTAAAATTCACCTGTTATATCTCAGTTATAAAAAAAATAATGGAAACATAAATACATTTTTAGCTTCATTCTTTATTGACACAAAAATAAGATGTATGCTAAAAGTCCAAATTTAAGTACTTACCATTTGCACACAGTCAAACTTGCAAGATTACATGAATTAGCAATGTGTTGGTCCTGTACATGCTAGTTACTTCATTGCAAGTATGACAGTGTGCATTACCGTCCTATGCACCGGTCTTGTGAAATAGATATGCAAAGTATTTATTATTATTATTTTAACTATTTATCAAACAATTAAAAATGATTCATTGATGTGTTAAGAAAACAACAAGGAGCCTTCAAAAGGAGAAGAGTCAGTTTTATCATTAGTCTCAGCTCTGACAGGGTGAATAGCCAATCACAGTTCAGGATAATTTTTTTTTTTTGGGGGGGGGTACTCATGAGCTGGTCAAGTGGATTAATCATAGAAAGATAAAATAGATTTCATAGGAATATTTTGCAGCAGAACAGAGTTCAAAGAGAAGCATGCTGAGAACAAAGTTTTTTTATTTATTTATATATTTATTTTTGAATCCCACTAATCTTTGTACAGTCCTGTACAGTTCTCTGTGCACTGAGGCAGGATGTTTAATAGTCTGCAGCTGAGTTGAACCAAGGGCTAGAGTTCAGGGAGCAGAAAAGTTCAGGTGGGCGGCAGGGCAGAGGGAGAGCAGGAACCTGAAGGGCATGAGCGCAAATAGTTCAGGAGGGAGGACGGGAGGACGGGAGGCCGACCAAACGGTGAGAGCAGTTTGGGAAGGCGGCGGCGAGGAGATTTCTGTCTTGCCGTCAACGTAAAAACATGGGCAGGTATAGGCCAGGCCACTGACAGGCCCAAAAGAGTGGGCAGGGCCTACAACAGGGATGCAGTTGTTGGCAGGGCCTCCCACTGGGACACAGCAATGGACAGACATGCCAATGGGGAACCAGGCCTCAACAGGAAAGTTAAGAGGGCTGGAGCTGAAGATGCTCTGGCAGGACAGGAGCACAGGCTGAGGTT